TGCCTCAGTAAAAGCGGGGTCAGAAATAATGGTAAACGGTTTGTTGTGTGGCGGCGAGCAAAGGAAACGATCAATGGCGGCTCTTAAGGATTTTGTGGATGAGCGTTTCTAAAACGTGCCATCGCTCTTCCTCGCAGACGTGTAAAAACACTTTACACTAACATTCAATTCTTCTTTTGAAATTTCTTTTATTGGTTTCGAAAATGTGGTGCCACCAGGACTAGCAAGCCATTCTGTAACATTAAGGTAATAAATATTGTGGTTGTTACGTTACCTTCTCGAATGCGTAAAATCTTCACGGTCATATTTGAAATATTGCAACTTTTAAGGGAAACTTAACGGATACGTACCGTTAAATAATTTCATCCCGAACTTTGCGGCTTTTTTTGTTGTTTCGTGGACGGCCTTGTCCATAAGTTTTTGTATTTCTTCTGTGGATAGCTCACCGAATCTGCTTTTTTCATCAATTTTTTTTGTCCACGAAACTTGGCTTCCCGCGAAAAATTCTCTGTCGATCGACATTTGCCGCATTCATTTCCATATAAGGTCAAACGCAGGTATAATGGCTGGTAACCGAGATCTGGTGAACCAATCAGAAAGCTAGAATTGCATTATCTGAGGTTGAGAATTTAATAATATTTCTTATTCGAGGTTGAAATATATTTGACGTGAACAACAACTGACCTTTAATAAATCCATCAGTTACTACTTGACTGACTTCAAGGTCACCTAGCTTTCCGTCTTTAGTTACTTCTGATAACAATGCTTTTACCTCGCTTGAACCCACTTGCTGATTAAATGTTAGCTCCATGTCTGCAATGACGCTTCCCTTTCTATAATAACACCGAAAAACAAACAAACAAAGACACTGCATTGTTTGACAGGCAAAGTACGTAAAAGGTACAGAGCAATCCTTTGTTTAGGACACATGGACCAACTAGATAAATCAACCCTTTTTCTTCTAAAATTGAGATATCGGTTGTGGTCAGTTCAAAGCTATTAACTTAAGTTAAGTTAGGACGGAGATACTTCTTGTGGTAAACGTTAATGGCACTGGTGCGACTGCAGAGTCGACTGCGACTTCAACTACTAACTACTGCTACGTCTGACGTCTTTTAACTGAAGACTTACCCGAACAAACTTTAATTGGTAGTATAGATGTGACCACAGCCATTAACCAAACCACTTTAGTAAAATCAGTCCTTAACAGTGCATAAATCACATGGACAACTGGAATACCCCAGGATTCCGTAGGCCCCGCTACTCTCGGATTTAGCGAGCAAAAGGAGCCGCTACTTTCGGCTAGACGTTAGCTTCGGGTAGCCGTTACTTTCGGATGATTAAAAACATTTGTACGTTAAAAGCTGTTCTTGCAGTTGAGTCTGCGGTCAAATATTATCTTGTTTTAAAAGGCATGCAAGCGAGGCGAAAGGGCTAATATAATGCAGAAATGACCCTTTGGCCTTGTTTGTGTGTCAAACCGCTGATAACTGCAATAGGAGCTATTCATAGTCGTTTCAGACAAAGCGGACGCGTGACATAAAATTAACAGTTTAATTTATGTATGTTACAAACCACCCACAGAAACAAAGCATACTCTACAAACAAAAAAGGCCCCAAGTGTTGGTAATGAAGGGCGATAGCAATGGTCACATTTTAAATCGATCTTAAGCACTGCTATGTTATGTTTATTTGAGAAATTTGTATCTTTTGTTTCAGCGGCATGCCTGTAAAGTAGCTAAGTTTAGCGCTTGTATAACTAAGTGCATGACCACTATAAATAAGATTTACATTTTACACTACATTTTTTTTACATTACGTTATATCAAATAAAATATGGCTTTTATTGTAGTCGAGCGGTAATCTTTAAATGGCCGGTACTTTCCAGTCAGCACTTACTTTCGGAAGGAAAATAAAGGATCGTTTTCATGTGAGGTCACAACAGTTCTAAATATAAACTCTTTTTTCCTTTATTAGATTCTCGAAGTCAGCTTTACTTGTTACTTTCAGAGTGCTTTGTCTTTGGGATAAGCGCATTAAGGGAAAAAGAGCCCACATGGAATTTCACGGTCAGTCACAGACGCACACACCATCTGAAATATTCTCAGACGGGCCGCTTAAAATTGCAAGTTATACATAACACATCTAAAAGTAATTTGAAGAGAAGTCTGTCTTGCTTCTTACAAACCTTTTTTGCTACCATATTGGTGTACCAAACTGGTACACCAATATGAGAAACTTCCTGGTTGTAATGAATACTGCCAAGCTCAAAGTAATCAGTTGTAAGCTACCTGATGTCTTTAATAAAAGGTATTTTTACGAAAACGATCTTCATGTATAGGAAAAGTTGTACTGTAAACACCCGTTGAACTAAGTGGCTATATGCTCAATGTAACATTGTTGGTTCCTAATACTTACTTGAGTAAATACAAGATTGACAATAAAAACAAATAATTCTTACCTCAGTTTATTCACTTTTGCACTAACGAAACTAGAGCCTTTGACTTCCCCTGTAAACTGAAATAATTTGAAAGCAATAACACTCTATGTAACACACTGAAGAGTGCCCAGACCACATTTCTTTTCTCATTTTTTCAAATATTCTCACACATCAACCAAATTTAATCCTAGAAGTATATAATATGTTCGTCCCACTTAGCCATAAAAAAATCTAGTTGTAGTTCCCACTAGTCTTGTTTATTAAACATTAAGAAAGGTTACGTTGACTCCCGCAGACAGAACTTGGAAATCAATTCCAGTTCGGTCGCCGGCAATAAGGCAGCCATTTTGAATTCTATTGTTTCAAATGGCAATTATGGGATGCTCAGGGGGCAAATACACCCTAATTTTCCTCTTGAGCATCCCATAATAGCTATCTGAATCAACAGAATTCAAATAATAATAATAATAATAATAATAATAATAACAATAATAATAATAACTTTATTTACGTGTCAATGAGGTTTAACATTGCTGCTAATTGGGTGCACATAAAACTAGTTACAATCATCACGAATAGTTCCTATAGTGTGATCGTCCGGGTGAGTGTAGTTCTGAAAAGAACTGTTGTTGGTGACTGACGTTT